CACGAAAAAAAATTGCATATATATCAAGGACAAGTGGAATTAAATTATCCAACAAATCTTTGAATATAAGGTATTCATGATTTTCGCATAGGCCAAAATTTTTTCTAACGATATCTAAAATTCGAAGCCAGCCATAACGAGTCACCTCAAGAAGCAAATTAATCTTCCAGGGTTGAATATTAGTTCCAAGATCCTTTGTTTTCTCAAATAAATTATTATATAATAAAGAAAAAAATGGTTGATACTGTATATAAACAAGTTCATGGCTGTTTAAGGATATATGCAATGGTCTGATAATAGGAATGAATGATAACATGTCTTGAGAAATATTAGACTTATCACTGTACGTTAGAAACCGTGATATCGTACTTCTTAAAAATATTTGACCAGGCCAATCAGCCACAAGGGGTATTATATAACCTGAATTGAAATATTCTCATATAGTATTCACTTTCCTAATAATAGACAAACTTTCCAAATAATCGTTAATAGAATGTAGATTATTTTTTACAAGATCAACAAGAATGATATTATTTAATAATCGATCGTTCATTCTTTCTTTAAGCTGAAGATCATAACTATGAATCATTAATGTTTCCATAGTTTCTTCTTCATTTTCACTTACCTGACTTTTCTATCATTCATTAAAAGACATTTCTAACAATTCTATAAATCTATTCTCTAAATCAACCTTTAGAGAGTCAGTATCGACGAGCTTTGGATTATGAATGCTTATACTGTTAAAATTAATAGAAATTGATAATATTGCATTTATTGGATTCAGAAGAATTGTTGCTATATGAGTTGGGGTTGACGTTTCACTACCCTTTAGAACACGATTTGTATGTATATTATGATAATCGTTTACATTTAAGACCATAGAAGTCTCACGGTATTTTCTAAATGGTTGTTTATTGTATCCATATAGCTTTCTGAAATTTTTTTTTTTTTATGCCAAACTGTTTGGGACGTTGATGTAATACTGAGTTTTGCTAAAACATTAATAGTTGAATCACCTGTGCCTGTAGAATCAAGATAAAGAGCTAGATCATGCTTTACATTAATAATAAATTTGTTACGTATACCACAAAGAATATAACAAACGAGTAGCAACTGGGACATAATTTTAGGATACGATTCACGCTTTTTTTGTGACAAATTTGCTGATAATACAAGTTTATCAAAAAAAGCTTTCAAACGCCTATCTTTAGCTTCCATGCAGGTATGAAATTCTTCAAATGTCTGAAATGCTGACAATTTTTGAGTAACTTCACGCCGATATAAAACCTCAGTCATAAATTTTATTACATTTGAAAAAGATATTACCTCCAAGATATCCTCCTGAGTATCGACCACTGTATCAGGATAGTCTTCAATACCTGCAGATTGAGCATGTTCTTTCATCACAGCCAAAGATCGAACAACTATTCCATTGTAACACTGCTAGCATATCACATCGTTGACTTTTAAGTAAGCTGGTAAAGTTTTATTTTGCTGAGCCCGTTCTAGAACAAAGTCAGTAACCTTTTTTAAGGGCTGATTAGAAGCTTCAGCACACACGATTACTGCACATTGTCGTTCCTCAAGGTTGAAATCCATTTCTTAATGAGGTATACTTAGATGTGGTGGATCCTAGAGATACACAAGATACTTAAAGCTTTCTTTGCGAAGAGTCTTTGAGAATAGTTTAACCGGTTCTTAATTATTAAAACAAAAAAATTTACTATCAGGGGTTGTAAAAGTACTCTAAACTGTATAAATTCAATTGAATAAAATTGACCAATCACGAGAAAGTTAGCCTATATCGATGCTGGGGTAGTTGAGATTATTGGGACTCGGTCCGAACCCGACTCGGGACCGAGTCGAGATTAAAACTCGACTCATGGAGTCGGACCGGACCGGACCGGACTTTTAACATCCCTAACGGCAATTACGGCAAAAAATGACATGTGCTATAACTAGGGATTGGAACCGTTTAACCGTTTAAAAATTGCTTCATAGCTCCAGGCGAAATTATGTTTGTTGTGAACTAGAATTATTTTAATGCCAGCCAAATTAAACGGTTAAACGATTAAACGATTAAGAAAAATTTTAGGCGGTTCCAATCCCTAGCTATAACAATATTAATTCGCAAAATCGATTCTACCACCAACAATGTTATCTTTGCGCAATGCTGAGTGTGTCTTCGTACGAACGCTAAGGCAGCCCAGTGAAAAGCAACTTAGAGGGTCTAATTATTAAAAAAAAAATATACCTACCTGGTTTCTTTCACGCTCTGTTATCCGGATTGATTTTTTGACTACACCGTTTCGTTTATGCTGTTCATGAATAATAGTGCCATGAAAAATCGGTAGTCACGTGAAGATCATAAAATTTTATTGATTAAAATTATTACCGCCAAAAAGTTTAAAGTTCATTTTGTTGATATTAGAGCTAGAGGTGGGAATATATATAGTAAAATTGCTCAAGAAAAATCTTTGTTAGAGCACGAAAGATGGTTTTTTTATGTAGATTTATATATGGTTATATGGTTTATAATATTTTTGGCCTATGGATATAAATTTTTTTCACATTAAAACTATTTAAAAATTTTACAAGACCACAGTTTTTATACGGTTAACTACAATAAACTACAATAAACTTATAAGTATACATTGTATGAATAAGTAGACAGTCTTACTTGATCGTACTTCTACGATAATGCGTATGTGCGTCATTAACGACCACTTATGGATCTAAAAGTTTGTTCTAGTTAGAATACTGTACCTCAATCCGGACAAATAATTTTTTATTACTTAATTTCAAATAGAAGTATGAACTTGTACCAAATTTCAGAAAACGATTTTGTGACGTGTTTTTTTTTTTTTTACAATAACCCTTGTCTTTTCAAGTCGTCATAAGTCTTCTTATTGAAGACATTTCCATCCTGAT